TTTACTATTTTTAATTTTACTAATTAATAAATTTTAATCATTAATAAAATGTCACGTCACCTAATGTCAAGTAAGCATCAAATATTAATTCTATTTTTGGCCTAGCCTAAAACGCAAGAATAAGAAGTAGATTTCAAGAAAATATTTGGAACGAATGACTAAAACATATTTTTTCATATACTTTGATAAACAGGGCTGTTCACATAGACATTTTCAAGAGCAAGATTAAAAGAACAAAACCAATCTACTCATTAAATTTTACATCCTTAATCTATATGATGTGATCTTTTACTTTATCAATTTTTATTTTTTATTTTAATTTTTATTTACTCATTTCTAATAAATAATTTCATGAATTTCACCTATGAAATTTTACATAAGTTTTTGCCCCAAGAACAAAACTTATATAAAGTTATTTAGGTAAAATTTATAAAACTTTTTTTAATTATTTAATAAAAAATCCAAACTTGATAGACTAATAAAGTTCAATATGAAAATCAATAATATATAACATATTAATACAAATCTTATTTATAATTTAAATTTGATCGATATTTATTCAATGATAAAAATTTTATCAATATTTTTACTAAAAATATCTATTTAATAAATACATCAAAATTCTTTAAAATTTTTTCAAATTTTACATGCTTGATTTATGTGATGAGATATTTTAGTCTATCAATTTTAATTTTTTATTTTATTTTTTATTTATTCATTTCTAATAAAAAATTTCACAAACTTCACCTATGAAATTTCATATAAAATTTTCTCCCGAATGACAAAACTTACATAAAGTTATTTAGATAAAATTTATAAAGTTCCTTTTTAAAAAATAATTTAATAAAAACTTTAATAAAAAATCTAAACCGATATATTGACAGAGTTTAATATGAATTTAATAATATATAAAAAATATTACAAATATTATTTATAATTTAAATTTGATTGATACTTATTTAATAGTAAAAATTCTGTCAATATTTTTACTAAAAATATCTATTTAATAAATATATCAAAATTTATTAATTTTTTTTTTAAATTTACATGTTTGATCTATGTGATGAAATCTTTTAATTTAGTAGTTTTGATTTTCAATTTTAATTTTTATTTACTCATTCTAATAAAAAATTCCATGAATTTCACCTATGAAACTTTATGTATTTCCCTAAGAACAAAACTTACATAAAATTATTTAGGTAAATTTTGTAAAATTCTTTTTGTAAAATGATTTAATAAACATTTTAATAAAAAATCTAAACCGATAGATTAATAGAATTTAATATAAAAATCTATATAAAAAATTATTTAAAAAATTATTTATAATTTAAATTTGATTCATATTTATTCGTGGTAAAAATTCTGTTAATGTTTTTATTATAATGTCTATTTAATAAACATATCAAAAAATTTTCAAATTTTTTCAAATATTACACGCTTTGATTTATATGATAAAATGTCTTAATTTATTACTTTAGATTTTTAATTTTAATTTTTATTTACCCAAATGATGCAAGTTTTTCCCTTATTTGAACCTCAACTAGTCTCTCACCTCTCAACTCACTTGCACTTCAACAGTCCTGGGTTGCTTGGGCTCTGGTGGTGGCTTCCTCTCCACAGCCACAGTCAAGGACCCGTCTTGATATGAAGCTGATATCTTTTCAGCATCAGCATTTTCTGGTAGCTGAAACTTCTTCAGATACTGACCGAGCCTCCTCTCCATCTTTATGTACTTCACGCCCTGATCCTTTTCATTTTCCCTTTTCCTCTCTCCGCTCACCACCAGCAAGTTGCGCTCTTCAACTTGGACCTTCACTTGGTCTTGTTTGAGCCCCGGCATGTCAATCACAACGACGTACGCGTTGGGGCAGTCTTTGACGTCTGCTGGTGTCGCTGCCATTGCTTTTGCGTCCCGAATGTAGGTGCGAGAGGGATGGGGCTGGGTCTTTTCGGCCTCGTCAGGGAAGTCCAGGAGCTCATGGAGGGTTTCAATAATGGATGGATCAAATCCTACGACTCTCAAATCCATCTTCCATCTGCTGGCCTCTTTTATTTCTTGCGGGTAGATAAAGAAATGTAAGGGATCGATGTATTACTTTGCTTCTTTTGTTGGCTGTGGAGAAAGGAATGCTGCCTTGGGTGAGATTTTGAAGGATTTAGAGCAAAGGAAGAACAAAAAAAACAGCAGAAACTAATCTGTCACTTGAAGTAAATTGGCTCTGCAGATCATGAGCTTCATTTCATTAATATATAGGCTTTAAACATACAAAAGTTTGTTTAACTACTACAAGAGTTGTTTGCCTAACAGTATGGATCATCATATACAGATCTATCATGTTACCTAAACTGATCAGATGGCAGAACCTGTTACAAAGTTCCAGCAGAAATGCCATACCTAGTTGCTTCAACCACTAACACACTAACACTCCTCCTTGGTATTTCTGCTGGAAACTCCAAGACTTTTCCTTAATGTTTCAAACCTTGCCTTTGGTAAGGCTTTGGTCAGAATATCTGCAATTTGATCTTCTGACTTGCAATGCACCAGTTTCACTTCATTCTCAGCTTCAACTTCTCTAATAAAGTGATACTTGATCTTAATATGCTTAGTTCTTCCATGAAACACAGGATTTTTGACCATTGCAACTGCTGACTGATTATCACAAAAAATTTTTGTTGGATCATCTTGCTTTTGACTCAAATCCAACAGAATTTTCCTTAGCCAAATTGCTTGATTAACAGCAGCTGCAACAACTATATACTCTGCTTCTGCTGTTGATTGAGCCACAATTCCTTGTTTCTTTGAATTCCAGCTGAACACATTTAATCCAATGAAAAACACATAACCTGAAGTGTTTTTCATGTCTTCATGAGAGCCAGCCCAATCACTGTCTGTGAATCCTACCAATCTTGAACTGTCATTCTTCTTGAACCAAATTTCAAGTTCATTGGTTCCTTTGACATATCTCAACACTCTTTTTGCAGCCTTAAAATGCAACTCACTAAGATTTTGCATGAACCTAGAAAGTAAATTTGCAACATACATGATGTCTGGCCTTGTTGCTGTCAAATACAATAAGCAACCAACCAAGCTTCTATAAATAGAACCATCAACTTTGTTACCTCCATCTTCCTTAACAAGTTTCTCATTTTTGAGCCAAAGGAGTGTTGACTGGTTTGCAATTTTTCATCCCAAACTTATTCAGGATTTCATTTGCATATTTTCTTTGACAAATGAAGATTCATTGTTGGTCTTGATGAATCTCCATTCCAAGAAAGTAAGACATTTTTCCCATATCTGTCATCTCAAAAATTTTTTGCATTTGGAGCTTAAAATCTTCCACAAGAGCAGATTTGCTACCTGTCACCAAAAGATCATCAACATACAAAAAAACAATCAACAGATCATTACTGTAAAAATTTTAATGTACAATGTTGCTTCACTGAGATTTTTCTTGAATCCTAACTTTAGTAAATGATCATCAATTTTGGAATTTCACACTCTTGGAGCTTGTTTTAATCCATACAAAGCCTTCTTGAGTAGATAGACTTTGCCTTCATGTCCCTTGGCAACAAAATCGTCAGGTTGTTCATTGTAGATCTCCTTCTCAAGATAACCATTCAAGAAGGCAAATTTGACATCAAGTTGGTATATTTTCCAACTTTACTGAGTTGCTAAGGCTAATAGTAGCCTTATGGTGTCCAACCTTGCAACTGGAGCAAATGTCTCTGAAAAATCAACACCAAGCTGCTGGAAATAGCCTTTAGCTACCAATCTAGCTTTAAGTTTGTTGATGGAACCATCAGCATTCAACTTTGTTCTGAAAATCCATTTAACACCAATGATGTTTTTGTTGCTTGGTCTGTCAACCAGCATCCATGTTTGATTTTTTTCAATCATTTGAATCTCCTCCTTCATGGCATTCCTCCACTCTGAAAATTTGACAGCTTCTTCAAAGCTTGCAGGTTCAAGAATGGCAACATTTGATCTTTGATAAATATCTGTGAGTGGTCTGATTCCTCTCACTAGTTCATGATCAATGATTTCATTTTCAAACATATATTCTTCTTGATCTTGGAAACTTATCATGTCTGCAGCAGTTTGCTTGACTGATTTTCCCTTTGACTTTTTTCAATTTCAGGCAGCTTGTTCATTAAATCTCATATTTCTACTTACAATCATCTCACCTGTAAGTGGATTGTAAGTCCTATAGCCTTTGGTGATGTTGCTATAGCCCAAAAAAATACATATTTCTGCTTTTTGATCAAGCTTGTCCCTTTTGATATCAGGAACGAACACATAACAGATGCTGTCAAAAACTCTGAGGTGGTGCACTGATGGTTTGCTTCCATACCAGGCTTCGAAAGGAGTGTTTCCCTTCAAAGCTTTTGTGGGCAGCCTATTGAGCAAGTAGACAGAGGTATTGACTGCCTCTGCCCAAAATTTCTTTGAAAGATTCTTCTCAAACAGCATGCATCTTGCCATCTCCATGATTGTTCTATTCTTCCTTTCACTGACTCCATTTTGTTGTGGAGTGTAAGTTGCTGTCAGTTGGTGTTCAATTCCTGTAACTTCACAAAACTCATTAAATCTGTCAGATGTGCATTCAGTACCATTGTCTGACCTTATGATCTTGATTTTGCACCCACATTGATTCTCAATCCAAGTCTTGAACTTCCAGAATACATTTGCAACTTCAGACTTTTGTTTTATGAAGTAAATCCAACACATTCTGGTAAAATCATCTATAAAAGCAATGAAATATCTACTGCCATTCAAGGACAAGGTTCTCATAGGACCACAAACATCAATATGAACAAGTTGTAGGTTTTCAGTTGCCCTCCATGCTTTGTTAATTGCAAATGGCAACTTACTTTATTTTTCTAGCTGACAGACTTCACACACTCCAGCACTGACTTCACAAGATCATTTTTATGCATGAAATTTAATGCATTGTAGTTGAAATGTCCCATCCTTTTATGCCATAAAGAAGATTCATCATGTGAAGTAGCATATGCAGAGGAGTTTGCTTCATGCCAATTCAAGAAAAAACATTTTCCTTTCATATTAACAGTAAAGAGTTCATGGCCAGTGGGATCATGAATTATGCATGCCTTGTCTTTGAAAACTAAAGAGTAGTTATTTTCTAGCAACTGTCCTACACTTAACAGGTTTTGATCTATTTTAGGCACAAATAACACATCTGAAATGCGTTTGGTACCTGTTGGTGTCTCAACTGTCACTACTCATTTTCTTTTGACTTCTATGAAATCACCATTACCTATTCTGACTTTAGAGGTGCAGGTCCTGTCTAGTTCTTTGAACATGTTGATATCAGATGCCATATGGTGTGTACAGCCACTGTCAATGAGCCATGCACTTGAGGAGGTTCTGGTTCCATAGCAAGTTGTAACAAAAACTTGCTCTTCTAGCTGTTGTTGATTGTCAGCAACTCTGGCTTGTTGATCTGGCTGCTGCTGTTTTTTGTTTTTACATATCTTCTCTATGTGACCAAGCTGCTTACAGTACCTACATTGTATGTCAGGTTTGTACCAGCAATATTTCTTCAAGTGAGTGGTTTTTTTACAGTGAGAGCAAGGTGGAAACTTTCCTTTCTTTTCAGTGTTTCTAGAACCTTTGTTTCTTTGATCTCCTTATTTTCTGCCTTTGCTTTCTGTTTGCATCTTGCCTTTCTCCTTAGCTGTAAAAGCACTTTCTATTGAATCCTCTTGTCTGATAGCCCTTCTTTGCTCTTGAGCTTGTAAAGCATTAAACAATTCTGCTGGAGTTATCTTGGTCAGGTCCTTGGAGTCTTCAAGGGATGAGATTTTTGACTCAAACCTCTCTGGTAAGCTGACAAGAACCTTCTCTACAATTCTTTTGTCTGACAGCTCTTCACCAAGTAATCTAATCTTGTTTACTATCTTCTTGAGTATGTCATTGTACTGCTTTAAATTTTCAGTCTCCTTCATCTTTAAGACTTCAAACTCTCTTCTAAGATTCAATACTTGCATTTGTCTTGTCTTATCACTGCCTTGAAACTCTTCCATAAGCACATCCCAAGCTTGTTTTACAGTTTTACAAGTCATGATTCTAATGAATATGTCATCAGAAACTGAAGACTCTATACAGCTTTTAGCCTTGTACCTCTTTGCTTTTTCTTCACTATAATTTTTCATTTGAGTTACTGTTGGATTTGCAGGAAGTTGTGGTGGTTCCTTCTCATTTTCCACCATTTCCCACAAATCAAAAGCACTTAAATAAGTCTTCATTTTGACAGCCTATATCTGGTAGTTCTCACCAGAAAAAATAGGAGGTGGAGGTATGGAGCAATTGCTTGAGGCCATTTAAGGTTAACAAAAGCTGGTTGGTAAGTGTTTGATGGCTTTTCACTCAATTTTTTGGAACTCACAGGTCCTCTAAAACCTTAAACCTGGCTCTGATACCAATTGAAGGATTTAGAGCAGAGGAAGAACAAAAAAAACAGCAGCAACTAATATGTCACTTGAAGTAAATTGGCTCTGCAGATCATGAGCTTCATTTCATTAATATATAGGCTTTAAACATACAAAAGTTTGTTTAACTACTACAAGAGTTGTTTGCCTAACAGTATGGATCACCATGCACAGATCCATCATGTTACCTAAATTGATCAGATGGCAGAACCTGTTACAAAGTTCCAGCAGAAATGCCATACCTAGTTGCTTTAACCACTAACACACTAACAGATTTTATAGTGAATTGATCATGAAGCCTGAAGAGGTTTGGGGTCTTTTAAGGATGCTTCTCCTTCTTGTGTTGATTTCTAGCTAGAGAAACAATTAGTCGTCGGTTTCGGGGTGACAGACAAATAAGTTGTATATAAATTGGTTTATATGCATTCATGAACAAGGCTTTTATGATTCACGTCCGCGGAAGGATTTGGTTGTTAATTTAGTAGTAGTCTAAAGCATCCGGAGCGTGTTGTCTGTTAGCCTGATAAGTGGTCGTCGACTGCGATGTTTATGCCTCACGAGTAGTAGGTCTTAAGGGGACGTGGCAACTGTGTGGTTCTCTTTGGGATCAAGCGATAACATAAACTCCAGTTCAGTGTTCAACTATAGGGTCTCGTCAAGGGTTAAAAAGTAACAACGTCACCAAGATTAAAATCAAGGTTATTAGATAGCAATGCGCATTCACATTGTTATTCTCTGCTTAGTTCCTGCAATCCTATGAATGATGCCAAAGATTTTAAAGATGAAATTTCTTCTCTAGACAAAGGAGGAAATTGACACAGAGCAACACCAGCTACTGATCATACTGAGCAAAAGAGAAATTGTTTCTTGAGTTTTAGAGTTTCAGTTGAAATTTCAAACTAAAGATGAGTTATTTGGGCTAGCCTCTGTTGTTCCACATGTTGCCGGGTAGAATCCTGCATGTTATGTTAGGCTTAGATCCAAAATACTACTAGCGAACTACTGAACTGTAAGGGTAACTTTTTGTCGTGTCCCAGAGCCGGGGATGTGATTGCAATCCACACAATCACTGTCAAAATCGACACGAAAACTCTTCGCTAGAAAGGTAAACCCAGAAATCAGCAACAAGATAATGCTCAATGATGCAATGAAACTTTTTGTGTTGAAAGAAAGGTGCTGAGTATAATAGCTATGGTTTCTATCTGCTATTATTGAAGTTCCTGCCTCATGAGATTCTGTGCCATTGTTGCCTTGAAGTCCCTGTCAAGTCATCTTGCCAGAGACCATCAGGAAGTTTCAGGTTTAGTTCGAGTGGCAAGGAGTTCGGCTCAAGGTTTAGGTTTCGAATCTTGTAAATAAAAAACCAGTAAGACAGCTTACCCCTTATGAGATTTGACCCGGCTAAATTTCAAATTAGTCGAAGCTCAAAGCGATTACCAAACACCGATAAATCTCAGATAAAAAAAAATTACGAAAAATAGTATAATTTAAGATCAATATACACGTTAACCTTATTAAATATACCACTGAGACTCCTTATACAGCACAGCTAAACACTAACATAGTTCACAGTTCAACGTATAGAAATACTTATGTAGCAGTTTTTGGGAATCAAAATGCCTAAAATTTATAAGTTATTCATATTCCAGGTTTAATAGAAACCCGAAAGGCTAAACCAAAGTTTCAGTGGGCAATCAAAGCTTGATGAACGGTGCTTTAGGAGTCTATCACATCAATGATTCTATATATAGCTCAAACCTCTTTAACTCCATTTAAATGCAGCAATGAGAATCGATGAGGTCATGCAAGACACAGCATAGAAGAAGACAATCGAAAGAAACCTTTCTGGCATCCTATACATCTTGTCTCTGCTAAGAAAGGGGTAAAGAAAGAGAGTATGGATCGACTCTGTTATGAAAAGAAGTGAGCATACATGGCAATTTGATGAGATTCTGTTCGTGAAACTATAGGTATCAAGTTTATAACATGTTACAAAGGCTGACTCACTAGGCATGCCATGAGAACTGAACAAATAATGGGTAGAGCCCTTGACAAAAAGGGTGGCCCAAAATAAAAAAATAATAATTATAAAAAATGGTGAATAACTTTTAAATTATAATAAAATATTTAATATGATATATGAATTATGAATATGTTATTTAATGTAATATTTAAAAAATTATTTATTTATTATATATCATAATTTGAAATTAATTAATTTAAATATAAATAATATATTAATTAATAAATTCATAATTTAAATATCATATTAAAAAATTTAAAATTTAAAAATAATATTAAATATTTTATTATAATTTAAGAATTATTTACGATATTAATTAAAAAAAAAAAAAGCAGCCCAACCCATCTGTGTTGGGTATTACTATCTTTTTTAAGTTTTCATGCCGATAGAAAGGTATTTCAGGGATGGTGTTAGTTATAGCCGTTATTTTCAAGTATCACATTACGAGTGTTTGGTATTGGGTATTTCAAGTTTTCAACCCAAAAAAAAGGAAAAAAAAACCAACCCATGGGTGTTGGGTATTGCTATCGTTTTCAAGTTTTTACATCGATCAATCGGTAGTTTAGAGATGATAAAAAATAAAAGTCATGATGATTTGAATAGGATGAGATTTGATTTGATTTTTTAAGTAATATATAATATTTTAAAATTTGTATCAAATTTTAATTAATTTTTTAAAATTAATTTAATCTGAATTGTGTTGATTCATTCATTAATTTTTTATATATTATTTTAGTATAATTTTTAATATATTTAAATAAATTTATATATAAAATAATTATTTTATTTTATAAAAATATATAAAATTAATAAAAATATATATTTGAAATTTTTTTATTTTTTACTTTTTAATTCAAACTTAATATATATTTAATATCAAAATTAAATTAAAAATTTTTTTTCAATAAATTCTATAATTTTAAATCGATTTTCCTTTTTTTTTTCACTCTAATAGAAAGATCACCCACGGTTAAGTTGGAAACGGAGGGTAGCAACAGTCCAGCTCCTTGAACCGAGTGAACGTTTAAAGCAGGCTGATGTTGAGTCTAGAAAAGGAAAGCTGTCGTCGAAGTAGTAATCGACACGTGTCTAAATTCCTCGATCCGCAAAACCCTTGCTAAAATCCATAACCTTGTCCTCTTTCACCTCTACGGTTAAAGCATTCTTTTTCACTCTCTCCCACTTTTCTTTTTCCAGTTCCTTCTTATTAACACAATCCATCTTGCTTTCTGTGAAAGACCCACAAACCCACTTTTTTCCCCCACTTCTTTTAGATTCTTTGTGTTTGAGATCTGTGTTCTTTCTCCGCTTTCTTTATCATTCCCCAGTTGTGCCTTGAAGATGTTTCAAAGACTTGGTTTTTTTCTGGTAAGAATCAAAAATAAAATCTGGGGTTTTTGTAGCCAGTAATGTTCGACTTACTTCTGCTGATCCACGTTCGCTCTCAAATTTGGCTGCGCAAAAGGAAAAAAACCAACAAAACCCTTTCTTTTTTGTTTTTACTAACTAAAAGGTCTTCATTTTCCTTTCCTTTTCTGTATAGAGTTCCTAGTGTACATTCCAAATACTAAAAGACTAAAAACCCATCATAAATTTTCAATTTCTTTGCCTTTTGATCATCTTCTCCGCTCTCAAACTAATTTGTAGCTTTAATTGTATAGAAAACTCAAGTAGCTTGAGTTATATTTTACTTGAGCTGAGTTGGTATATATAGAGTTTTGAATGGGATTTGAGGTGGCATTGATTTTGGTGAAAGGATAAGAAAAACAGATTTTAGTTAGTTGAACTAAACAGTTTAGAAAAGTGAAGAAAATGAGTTTAAGCGCAGCCGAGGATGATTCAGGGTCAGAGATTCATACACAAGAAGATATAGATTGGCATATGCTTGATAAATCCAAGTTCTTTTTTCTAGGTGCCGCTTTATTTTCAGGTGTATCAGCTGCTCTTTACCCTATAGTAGTCTTGAAAACGAGACAACAAGTTTCATCTACTCAAATTTCTTGCATTAAAATGTCTTTCTCTATTATGAGATATGAAGGATTGAGAGGATTCTATAGGGGCTTTGGTACCTCTTTGATGGGGACAATCCCAGCTCGAGCACTTTACATGGGAGCCCTTGAGGCTACCAAGAGCAGTGTTGGTACTGCCACTGTTAGTTTAGGTTTTTCAGATACTATGGCAACTGCTATAGCTAGTGCTGCTGCTGGGTTGAGTTCAGCTATGGCTGCACAACTTGTTTGGACTCCAATTGACGTTGTGAGCCAAAGACTTATGGTTCAAGGTTGCAACAATAGTAACAGTAGCAGAAATGTGATTCCAAATGTGAATTCTTGTAGATATAGGAATGGTCTTGATGCGTTTAGGAAGATTCTGCATGCAGATGGTCCTAAAGGATTGTATAGGGGATTTGGGATCTCAATATTGACATATGCACCATCTAATGCGGTTTGGTGGGCATCTTACTCTGTTGCACACAAGCTTATTTGGGGTGGTTTTGGCTGCTCTATGGGTAAAAAAGATGAGAATGGTGTGGTTGGGTGTTCAGGTTTTAGGCCTGATTCAAAGGCCTTGGTGGCAGTTCAAGGGTTAAGTGCAGCCATGGCTAGTGGCATTTCAGCTTTAATCACTATGCCACTTGACACCATCAAGACCAGATTACAGGTTCTGGATAGAGAAGAGAAGGGGATAAGAAAACCTTTGACGGTTTTGCAGACAGTGCGGAATTTGGTTAAACAAAGCGGATTGGCAGCTTGTTACAGGGGATTGGGACCAAGGTGGGCTTCAATGTCTATGTCTGCAACAACCATGATCACTACCTATGAGTTCTTGAAACGGTTATCAACTAAGAGCCAAGAAGCTTGACAACATGAATAGGGCGGATGAGGGTAAAACATATAGGTTTCTCTCACTTGAGATGCTTTAAGTTTTTGTTCCCTTATCCCCCTTTTGGCCTCAACCGGCCTGCTTAGTAAGAAGGGTTACTAATTGTAAATTTTTCATTTCTTATTTTGGCATTTTAATGATGAGTATCACCTGCATATTGATGTAAAACGTGTATGTAGCAGTTTTTCTTTCTTTTCCATCTGCCTCTGTAATAAAATGTATCTTTCATGTTCTCAATCTATTATAATTCAATCCTTTACTACTCCAAAGTTTTGTTTGGTTTTTTCTTTTTAATCACCTTGAGTTGAACATTGCTATCTCAGTTATGACAGAGTAGAAATCTCTGAATAAATTCTTATGATGATTGAAAAGAATATAATCTCTGAATGAATACTTGCGCTTTCTATTGACTGAATAAGTTACAACTATTAATGTGTCTTCAGTTATCTCTTATCATTGATGAATGATGAGTGATCTGTCTTTTTCTTGCTTAAGCAAAGATATACCTGAACCAAAGTGTTTTCCCTTGCAAACCATTTTAATGTTTTCAACATGATACGATCTCATTGTGGCATTTAATTTAAGGGATTAGTTGACGTCAGACGCTCATGTCCCTGCCTTACTGCGTTTTAGCCTTGTTATTCTATTTCCATTTGCTAATATAGATGGGCTGCATCTAATGAATGCGCCATTTGAGAAAAGGTAAATTGGCTCTGCCCCTCAAAAACTTGAAAAGACAGAAAAAAATTTGGATACAAAAAAGAAAACTTAAAAGCTTCCGTCATATAACACATGGATATTCTCAAATCTCAATCCCCACATTACCCATTTAATAAAAAACATGCTTTAGACTAGACAAAGACGAAGTAAAATCATCCAAAGATTGGGTAGTCAACTTGTTTTTGTATGCAAACCAAAAACTATGTCTCTGACATTTTAAATATAGGTCACCCTCATGTCGGATTAGTTTAGGCTTAGTATAGGTTAGTCATACAGTACATGAATTACTACTAACAATCTATCATGTCAAAAAGGTCTTTAATGATATTCTGTTGACTTCAAATTCATTGTGCTGAAATTATTTTATTTTTTCTTTTCAAGAACAATAACATGATATAGATATGGGTGCTAGCGGTAGGGTTCCATACTTGGATGACTGCATTAAAGTCAAGTGCATATTTGTTCACTGGGGAGTTAGATTTAGACGCAAAATTTCAATCAATCCCACCATGAATCTCAGTTCTCAGGAACAACAAATTACTTTTGCAGCATAGACGTAGTACATCACCATTCACTTCATCTTAAATGGAGAAAAAAAAAATATATACAGCTCAACACAAAATTTCTATCTGCATCGATAGATGAAAAAGAACTCAGAAGCAGTGGTTGGCGGAAACAGGGGGAAAAATGATTAGCATGCGGCAGGCAGCTTTAGCATTTGGGTAGGGGATATGAACTCTTCATTTTTTTTTTATTCTTTTTTTTTTTGTAGTCAGAGTCACATCATCGAGGGATGGAAAACCACGGGCTGATACGAAAACCCATTCGCCAGTCGGATTTACTATGGACCACCCAATATTTACCATTACTAAGAATGTTTATGGACCAGGCAAGCAGAAACAATGGGCCCATCCAACCAATCATTTTCCCGTTTGATTTTTATCCAAAACAGCCACACTTGTGTGAGAGACCAAATGAAACGACTGGGATTGAAGCCAATTTGAGGACCACTTCTTCCAAGTTGATGTTCCGTAAAAGAGTAAATTCTCAATTCGCAACAAAATGCAAAAGGAATTGGGGGATTTATGGGGCGCAGTTGAGTGTCATTTGGTTAATAAGTCATTATGTGGTCTTAGTTATTACATTGAGAAGTACAGGTTTTAGAAAACTCGACGATGGCACTGGCATGCAAATGAAACCAAGATTCAGCCGTTACAACATCCTCAAAAAAACCCACCGGTGGATTCACTTTTCATGCTTATTTTATTGAGTTGCAGTTACAGTTTACAAACTACAACCTTTTTTTTTATTATTTTGTACTATTCTTTTTGGGAGACAAGGGAGTTACGATGTCTAATACTGATAAGCAAAGGCTCACACAAGACATCATGTGCCTCTCATGGTGGATCGGCGTCTCAATCGAGAACAATATACATATATAGTATTTTAATTAGACTGGTAATATACATAGAAAATATACATATACATGTATATAGACAATAGTTCTATGATCATTTTCTATTTTTCTTCTTTCCATCTTTTTTTCTTTTTAAAAGAATGACAATGACAAAGCATTACACTTCTTGAGCTTAGGGTACAAAAGGAAATAAAAATGCTTGCAAATAAAAGACAAGAAGATTCAAACATAAAACAAGTCTCCCTTTCCAAGGGCAGGAACCAAATTATTCTCAACCAGATTATAAATATCCTATTTTATAATCAAATTAACAGCGAGTTCCCGATTAACGCATAAAAGCCATGATAGACATCCTAGATTAAAGGGCACATTAACTAAGAACAAACTAGAGTACATTAACTACTAGACGGTTAGCACTCCACAGAATTCACATAAGAGCCACCGACCAGCTACCATCAAGGCCGTGCTCTCTTGTTGCTGCAAGATGGGCATTTGTACTGCTTAATAAGCTCCGCCCTTGCTGGTGTAATCTTAACGCACTTTCCATGGAACCATTTCTCACAGATATCACAACAAATCCAGAATTCATCAGCTGCATAATTCTCTCCACAAGCCCCACAGAATGTCTCTCCATGCTCTTCATCGTCTTCCTCTTCCATAATATCATCATCCTCATCCTTTGATGGCATTGCCTTTGAATATTTGGGCTGAGATTCAGAACCTCGCTGGATTTTTCAAACACAAAAAGAAAAGCAAATCTAATTTATAAGGTGCCCGTGAAATTGTAATGTTATTTCCCTCTTTTGTCAGCACAAGGAGAATGAACTTTGTGGAAATATTGATGTAACAAGCCCAAATGCCAACAACTTTATTTGATCAGCTTTTCATCTAAAAGAATTATACGTTCACTATTAGATTTTTTACCATGTCATAAAGCCTAAAGCCTTGTCAAATTGTGAGAATAATGTAATATTACATATTAGCTCCAACCTCAACCCACCTTGAATCTAAAATTCACTACTGCATATCCAAAGAAAAAAAATTTCATGAAATAGCTGGGCAAGAAAAAAATTTTCCATACCTTAGAGTTTGATTTAGATTTGTTGCTGCTATGATTTGAAACTGATGATTTCTCCTTTGTCTGTTTCTTAGCTGCTCCTGTCACAACTTCAAATATTGTTGGAAGATCATTTATCATATTAAAAAGGCGTTTCCTGCATCAAATTAACCGGCATGGTATTATTCAGGAAAAATCCAGCTCAAAATATAGCATGCTTGTTAAAGCCACATCCAAAGCCAGTACAAAGCATCACAATTTAAGCAAGTTCACTAATTTCTAAGTACTTCATGCTGAAAGAATAAATTCATGGATCAGACCAATCATACTTTAGATGATACTAGAAGGACCTCAGAATTCTGTTAACACCTGGCTTTAGCATTTTGCGGAGAAATTCAACTAATCAATGCAATAAATTTTCAAGGAAAACCTTATAAATGGATGTTTAAATCAAATTAGTTAATGGGGCTTCCCAAACCAAAGTAGCAAATTCTACCCAAATTATACAAGTTTCGACAATGTATTAAATTTTACCATAAAAGAGGATCCGTTTACAAAAATGTTTGTCAACTGAGTCAAAAATATACCATGCAAAATTTTCATGATATAAAAAATACTAATAAATAACAAAACACCAAAACTGCAAGAGACATGGGTCATGTTTGATACACAAAATTATGATAAGATAGGATATAATAAGATGATATTGTAAATAGTATTAGATTAAATAATGTTATCTTATCTTATGTTTGATATGTGCAAGAATTAAGATTATGATAATTTGTTTTTAGGTCAAAATTATCCTTCCTCAAATTTTATACAATTTAAATTATTGATGTAATTTTTAAAAGTATAATAAAACATGTAAGTTTAATCCCATTGGATTAAAAATAATCCTCTCCACTTTGGAAGGATTGAATCAACCTATACCAAGAGGATCATAATCCTCCTTGTAATCCTATCCCTTTCAATTAGATACAAACCAAACATAATACAAAATAATTATCATATCATCCTATCCATCATCCTATGCACCAAACATGACCATAAATCAATTATTTGGCTGAACTGAGGCTCGATTGGTGTGCATGCCTACCATGTAACTTAACTTATTTACACCTAGAACATATATACATACATATATATATATATATATATATATAAAGCCAACTCAGGAGACAACAATTGGGCAAGGACAAAACATACCTATCAGCTTTATCAAACCCAAACCTAGCACCAAAATAGAAAGCCACAGAAAGTAACCACACGTCACTGTGTACAGCAACCAAAGATAACCAGTCCTTTTCTTGCATCCCATCTCTGGCAAAGTTAATGCCCAGTGCAGGCTCCGGAAGCTCTGGAGGCACCTCTTCAGCAGGTAAATTCACCTCCCACTGCTCACTGGGAATTCCATAAAGGCAAAGATTCTCTTTTTCTGCAATCAAGATTTTAGAATTTTAATTAACTAATTCCATTTCATACATCTGGAACCTAACAAGGTAGAATGAGTTAAAGTTTAAGGCAACCACACTTAGTTTATTGCGTTTGGTTTCGCATTCATTGATTTGCATCTAAGTTAAAATGAATATGTTTTTATACTAATTGAAATTCTTGCAGAATTAATCCTCATTTATTTTCCAGTTCATCTTATTAAAAACATATATGAGATGAAAAATGCAAAAAAAAATCATATCAAAGCAGAGTACAGAATAATTATATAACTAAAACTTCCATCTTTTTTAAAATAAGAGACGTACTATTTCCAAAAACGCTGAACTGAATAATAAATTTGAACCATACCACTGTATAACAATATCTTGAAGAAATTACATTTGACCATAACCACATGCTACAATAAGGTTTTTAAGAATTCTCAAAGACCTTGTTTGCAATTTGGAAAAGTACCAGAGACTAGTAAGTCTAATAACTAGAAATAAAAAAAGTAAGCATTATGTTGTTAGTTCCATAATAACAGCAATGATGCCAGCTATACTGCATCCACATCCTGTTGTCTAGCCTTATTCTGTATCACGGCCATCTAACAAACCAATAAGCATCAAATAATGAGGACAATCTTAAATTAGACAGTCAATAAAAAAAAAAAATACCAAATAAAGAAAAACTTTTTTCGCGCCAACTTTTAAAAATGTTAATTTATTTAAAGATAGAAAAGGAATTTACATTTGTTTATTTAAAGATAGAAACGGAATTTACATTTGTAACAGAACACATGAGGAACAAAAACAACAACAACAACAATGTTGAAATTATTAAATCTACACATCTGAACATACAGATCTCTTACTTAGCTCAGATTATTCATTTTTATTGTAAAAGGGAAAGCTCAATTTAAGTATAAAATGGTAGCTCAATAATTGAACAATTTTCGTTCATATCATAAAGTTAAACAACAATAAGGTATACCGTAAATACCATTACATGCACTAAAATTCACTTCACTTGTATTAAAATTTAAACTACTTCAATTACAGGGTTTGAATTTTCTGTTCTATTTATATAAAAATTGTAACTTCAACTAAATCATATTACCAACCATATAAAGCTGGATGTAAAAACCCAACAATTAGTTCACCATAAAAACAAAAACGCAGTACCTGGATCGCACTGCTGGTAAAATTCTTCCACATCTGCAACCACCACCACTCCCAATAAGTAATTAAATAAAAATAACTTTAAAAGAAACAAGATGGTTGAGAAGATGATAACCAAATAAGAGAAAATAGTAAAACTATTACCAGTAGTAAGGGCTTCAATCATGCCGGCACGACGTCCCTTGAAATCTCGAAAGACTTCTTCGACTGTACGTGGGTTGTATGAAGCACCGCCGTCCATCACCCAAACTGACTATTTTCTTCCTCTTTTACTTTTTCATTCTCTTTTAAAGAGAGCTCTTTTGTTTTGGGGAGTGGGGATGAGAAGCAGAAGCGCAGAGGTAAAGGAGGGAAAAGAAAGATTTGCCAAAAAAAAAAGTTTAGTTTAGAGTATTTGACTGACCCCCTCTATCTCACTCGGTTTAGAGGGACAAACAAGGAAAGACAGATGTGAGCGAGTTCGGAAGGCAAATGAGATTTTCAATTAAGCAGATTTGATAAGACAGGGAAGAATCCGTGACCCTGGCTTTCCCTTTTCGGCCCATAAGACCCTAAATAGAAAAGCCCCTTTGAATGAAATCAAGACAAACCCACAATGTCAAAAAAAAGGATGGTTTCCTCTTAACTCATCTACGTAACAATCTCGGAGGGCCAATTTGTTTGTCTGGTTATGGACTATTGGCCCAATGGAGCTTCAGCAGCCTGATATAAAGGGACTGGATTTGTTTTCGTTTCTGCTTTTTTATTATTGTTGTAGAGAGGTCAGCAAATTTCATCCCATCTTCCGTTATTGATAAGAGGGTTTATGATTTATGGGGAAAAAAGCTAAATTACTGGAAACAAAAGATACTTTATACAAAATTCTTTATTGTTTTTGAATGGTGAACCTTTTCTTTTCTTGCCTTTATAATTTGGTGGGGGTGGTGATTGGAAGAGTAGACTTGAATGTATAGGGAGGCAGGGATTTATGCTTGTACGGCGAGGAGGAGGAGAAAATTTGTAGGTAGGAGGATGTGCCAGTTACTAGAGAAGAAGAGAATAGAAGAGATAAGGGAAGTGAATCAAGAAAAAGAAATTCATTGCTAATAGAGCTTCTAAGCTTGGCTATGTAGCAAGGCGTGCCAACAGCTGAGGTGTTCATTATCTAGTGGAAAATCAAGCCCCACCTGCGCACCTCTGGTTCAATTAGAGATTTGGAAGATGGCCTATTGAAGTAATCAATGATAGTAAGGCATAGGAAGGAGACAAAAGAACATGATAAGGTGGTCATAATTCGAAATTGCGCGAGTTCTTGTGATTCTGAAATGGAAACAAAAGCTGGAGAAAAGAAAATTATTCTCTCAATTCTCATGCAAACTTTTGCAGACACGTCATATGATACTGCAGCGCTCATTGAATTTTGGCACTCCCCTTCTTTTAAAGTTTCACATTATATAATTCTGCATAAAGACGGTTTGTTATTCGAGACAATGCCCAGGGTTTGACTCAAGTACATGTCATACACCAAACGGTTTAATTCCCACATTTGAATTTGATCATAGTGGCGGTGAGTGATAATATCCATTGGGAGGCCGGAGGGTCGCAGCACTGATTGATTTCAGGGTGTCAGGACGAGTTTGGTTAGGCCAGGCCATGATATGGAGTTGAATTATATCCATTCGGTTGATAGCTGAAATTAGGGTGACCCTTATTTCATTGTGATCACAACAGTATATAAGCCCAGCAGAGCTAACACTCGTAGGCATTAGACTCTTGCCTTCTAATCGAGAGATAACAAGCAGATGCTTTTTGGCATTTGCTTCTTCAAGTAGTTGCTTCAGCCCTGCACGGTCGGCAGCTGAACCCTTTGTTACTGAGTAGACGCAAATAAATCCCTATGCGAAACAATTAGACATGACAATAGAGTCATAGAGATGAACTAGTTAAACGTTCGTTTTGTCTTGTTAGAATAAGAAAAAAAATGAAAAGATAACGAGGGAGTTACCTCTTCTGTCCGTTTTATGTCCATTCCAAATCCAGCATCTCCTGTTTCTGGTATCATTTCAAGTAAAACTTCATCCACTCCAGGTAGGAACCATAGCCTTATGCTTTGCACTAATTCTACATTTGAAGTGTGGTTTTGTTGCTTCCCTCGATTTATTTCCTTTATGGTAGGAGTGATTTTCTCCTTCAGGGAAAATTGAAAATGTTGCAACAGGTACAAAACACAAAGAGATTCAGTTTATTTACCTCTTGGCTTATTAGGAAAACATTCATGCATGTTAGGATTGACAAAAAGCTTCCTTTTAAAATAGAAAGATGATGGATCTGGACTTATTCTAGGAAAAATATTGGCATCTTCAAGACTAGTAAGATTGACAGAGAGAGCTACCGAGGTCGCGATCTGTTCTGTTTGGACATTGACAAAGACAAGAGGAGCCCCTGAAGATACTGCCGCAGTAAGCCTCAATGCAATATTCGCCTTGAAAGGGCAGGAAAAGAATGGAACTAACGACAGTAGATGCTTGGTCCGGCAGGTGAGTACCCACTTTCCTCTTCCAATCATACTTCACTTCCTTTCTGTTGAACCCTCTAAATTCCACATTCACCAACCTCCTGCTTATTTCTGCATGACCAGGCAGAAACCCTCTTTTTACGATGTTGATTCAATCAGTAAAGATATATAAATATAAATATAAATATATATATATATATATACCTCTAATTTAATGAAATGAATATGTCTTGAATTGCATGTCTTAACAAGAGCACGGGATTTGAAGCTTCAGGCTGTTTCCAGTGAATTCCCATTGCAAAAGCGACGGTAATAAAATATGGTTTCAATCTGAAAATAGCAATTTTCTCCTAGGTTTCACATATTATGGATTGGAGAAAGTTTGTTACTTTAATCTTTCATGATTTGATTCGTTTCTCTGGATTTACTGTCACTCAAGGCTCATACATTCATTCAATTCAAAATCACGTCTTGAAGAGAAAGGGAATTAATTCCTCTTTAATCCTCAAATAATCCTAAAGGAAACAGATTCTCGTATCAAACTGCCGCAAATTTCAACATGCTAGTCATATTTTTGCTTCCAGCTGTTATGACAGTTCTTTTTTTTTTTTTTCAGAAATTTGTGTTAGACAAAACTGGTTCTGGACCTTATGGTCTTTCAATCAAGTGGAAATAGAAAGCAATAGCCCCCAGCCCTGGTATGAAGGAAATTAAAGATACCTACCTTGGAGTGTGGTGCATCGTTCTAAGGTCAAGTCACCTAAAACTGCAACATGTCTGTCATCCCTAGCCGCTCTAATTGTATACTTCCTCTGGAGAATTGAAGACTTCTGTGCTACAACACGAACACGAAGTTTATGCGTTTCATCACCCCTTCTAACCTTCACCCATATTGTCTCCACCTTCTGGCCGATCTTTCCAAGCTGTGAACTTAGTTCAGATCTAACTTTTGCAGGCCGAAATAACTCATCATCAGCATCATTTTCAGCATACCCTTCAATAATGTCTCCAGGCAATGGCATGCTCTCATCCCACTCTTCTGGTTCATCTTGCTTCACTCGCTTCACACAAACCACTGTCTGAGCACCATCCATCTCCTTCTTCCTGAAAAATGGCATTGATTTTCCATGGAATATCTTGTAAACTTATACTGTCGAGGTCCTAGAGTTGTGTAAGCATCCACGTTCGAACACATCAAAGGATGTAAACTTTTATAGGTCTCTACGCCTCCATTTGTAAGGGCAATTTTGTGTCTAATATTCATTACAGGACAAGCGAGCCGGCCGTCAAACTTAGTCTCCTCTCCTTGTTGCTAATTAGGATTAATTATACTTTAAAATGCTTGATATACTAACAATTGTCCCAAAACTGACAAGGAAAAACAAAAGATATCCTTATAAGATTTACATGAAATTTTTAAGTGAAATTATAGAGTTTTTATTAAAAATAATTTAATAAAAACTTTAATCTAAAATCAAAATTGATAAATTAATAAAATTCAATGAGACTATTAATAATCCATGAAAAAGTTATTAAAATTTTTGTTTATAATTGAAATATTATAATCACTTATTTAACGATAAAAATTTTATCGAAATTTTTGTAAAAATACTTATCTAAAATATGTATAAAATTTTATCATTTTTTTTTTAAATTTTACATATTTGATCTATGTTTCAAGATCCTTCAATCTATAATTTTGGATTTTCAATTTTAATTTTAATTTATTCCATTTTAATTAAAAAAAATTACAAATTTTATCTCAAGATTTTTATCTAAATTTTTCTCTCAAATTTGTGGCTATAAATATAACAATATTAAAGCATTGTGTGTTTAAAATGAAATTTTTACTATAAAAATATATTTTTTACTTTTTCGATAATAAAAAATATAAATTGTTTTTAATTTTCAACATAATGTAGATTGATAATTATTATATTTTACATAATTAAATTGATTTAGTTTATTTAACTTTAATATATAATTTATGTTTGCCTATATGGTTTTAGATTAAGCCACAATAAAAAGAACTTTAATGGAATATGAGATTTTTTTTTTCTTTTGGTATTATAATTCACCATTAGATGTTTTTCTCCTTTTTGATAAATCTATTAGATAATTTTTCCAATTTGATATATAACAATTTCTTTTAGCTTTGAATTTCATAATTCCTAACCATCCATTAAAAAACAAAATATGACTGTAATATTTTTATCCAAAACTAATTTATAATTTTTGAAATTATAAATTCTACTCATAACTTTTGAACATATCTTGTAAATTATAAAATGTGATATTTTTCTATGTAAAAAGAAAAGAAAAACTTAATAATATTATCAATTTAAATATATTAATAATAAAAAGAAATGAATCAAAATGAAATATGATTTTGACTAAGTTGATTGCACCAAACATTTCAAAAAATTATTAAATTAAAAATTGTTATAAGGAGTTGTTTTAGTTGATTATTTCATGATTGTAACTGATTATGATATAATAATTTATTATTCAGTTGATTATATGAACATACTATTTGATTATAAATATAACTTTTAAAAAAATTATTATAAAGAGTTAAATAAGCTTTTATAATTTTTAATTATTACAAAATAATAATATTTTATTATTAATTTAAAAATATTATTTATAAATATGATTTTATTTAATTTTAAAAAAATATTAATGAAAAATAAAATAATTAATCTAATAAATTTTCAAAATTATATATCTTATTTATTATTTGTATTTTTTATATTTGAGAGATTGTCAGATTTAAATTTTAATCTCTAAAATTAAGAATTTAATACTTTATCAATCATCCATGTGATTATTAGCACTATTTGTAATTTTTAAGTTAGACCAAATAAACATCAAATAAATTCAGATAGTATTTCAAGCTCAATTATAATAATTATTTTTTTAATTTAAGTTTCCAAATTCACATGTACAAATTGAAACATCTAATAAATTAGATAAAACATAATATTCCAAAAATCTGAAGATCAAGCAAGAATTGTCTTTAAGATTGGATTGGATTTGAGTATATTACATAATAGTAAATACTCAGTCAGGTACCCTATAAAGTTCAGCCATCTCTTCTTCCTTCTTCCGGATTTCTTTTCTAGCTCGAACCCTTTCATGCGGATCATCTGAATTTAACAGACCTCTCAATTTCGATATTTCCTTCTTTATGCTGTGAACCTGAGATATGCAGCAGAAAACACATCCAGTATATAAAAGAATGTTGGTATATTCAGGAGAGAAGAATCAATGAAAACAGACCTTTCTATAAGGCCATCTTCCGGTGCCACCGGTTTTCAGCCATATGTTATGCACTACAGTTTCAGAAAATCCCAATTTCTCGGCTGCTTCCTTTCTAGGAAGATCAAAATAATTTGATAACTCTTTGTAGGTTATCTCCTTTACTCTCCTTCTCTGCATTATTTCACCAACAATAAGAAAAAAAAAACCAAGTTAGAGGCTAGAATAGAAACACTAAGAGTAGCAACCGGATTCAATGAAATGCAATCATTTTCAAGTTCAATTAATCCTGCCCAGAGCTCTAACTGAAATAGGAAACCCAATGGCAAAATTCTAGTTTCCTTTAATAGGTCAGTGACAGTAGCTACAACCTGCTCTACCAGGAAGAATGGAGACTTCTCTTTGTTATAGGTGTTCACAGCTTTATTATAGGCAGTGGCTACAATCTGTGCAGCCAGGCACAGAGGAGGCTGCTCTTGGTTATTTCTGTCGTTTGCAGTTTCATCCCTCTGAACGTCCCCTGCAAAAATTTAGACAAATTCCGTCATACCGTTACTATGTGATAAACCAGCGATACGAAAAGGGGAAAATCAGCCCTGCTTTTTCCTTTGTATAAATCATTGTATTTAGCTAATAATCTGCTCAAAATTAAGTATGTAATGAGAACACGGAGTGTAAAAAACTACTCCAGAATTCACATGTTCATTGTTAGAAGATACTTGGATCTGGTGTCAACGTTTTCTCCATGTAGTCACCATCAGACTGATTTTCATCCCCATCAAGCCGCACGCAAACGGCTTCATAGAAAGTTGAGCGTGGATCCTTAATCACCATATATCCCTCTTGATTTCTCTTGATGCAATATTGAGTCAGAAACTGCTTCACCTCCTCATTGTCTTTTTTGTAGAAACTATTGAAAGAAAATCAAAGTGAGTTTTGTAACTCATGTCAGTCCTCAAGATTCTATAACCAAGTTACAATCAAATAAGAAAGTACTTCAAGAAGAAAGTGGAGAGAAAAGAAAAAAAAGAACATTAAACTTACTCGAACATTTCACGAGTAACTGCTTCAGTACTTGTTTGTACATCAAGAATAGCATGATAAAAAATTCCAAGTCTTCCATGAATCTGAAGTTTCATAACATGGCGGCCTACCATGATAAAAACGAAACATCATCACCAAAAGAACAACCTAATCACCATTGACACTAATTGATACTATAAATATATTTCATTTCAAGTAATAGTAACATGAAACGCACCCTTAATATGAATAATTTCTCTCAATATTTCACAACCACTACAACCAAACGGGACTGGTTCACTTGGCCAACCAGAAATTTGAGTTGAATTCATATTATCTAGACTTTGTGTTCCCAAATGCGTCTCTCTTTCATTACAACTTTTCCAGATAACCAGAGAATTCACCACATTGGACTCATTACACATACCCCCGGAAATTATTGTTTTCCGTAAAGGATCAATGGCTTCCCCTCTTTCCTCTGAAAACTGAGGGGTTAAAATGGGAAATGAAAAGGATTCATGAACAGCTAAGCGATCCTCAAGAGTAGGAATATGCAGGTTGTTTATGTGTAAACTTTCATTTACCAAGTTTATGTCTATTTGATTACTCGTTTCCTCATTAATCTCCAAAGGATTCGCTCCAGAATGCCACTCATTGTCTGAATCCCAAAAGTCCAGAGACAAAGTCCCTGGTGAATCAATATCAATAGCATCCTTGCTTTTCTCGCTAGACAGAGGAATTAAAGGAGAGTCCGCAAGGAGAGAAGGATTCATGTTGTCCACGATGTTCATAGTGTCGTCTGTATATGGGGTGTAATAAGGATCATCTTGATAGGGAACAATGAAATTTGGATCCGCCATGACCTGAAGAAGTGAGTGTTAATTAGTCTAAAATCTCAATTTCTTTGGAGGAAGATGGGATCTTAATCCTTGGTTGGTGGCGGCTATCGAATGGAAGCGCCACCGTATAAGGGGCCTCAAGAGGAAAAAGCCACAATGGAAGCTGAGAACCGCAACGATGGTGGCTCAAGAGAAGAGCAAGAAATTGAAACTGAGAAAAGCTCTTGCAAATTGTTTTTAAGTTAATATCAAGGACATAAATCAATTGGAAAAGGCGCGAGAAGGCAGTTAATGACCGTTGAAAGACAAGGAAACGGTTGGTAGTTGGGATATGACATTTTCTTGAAACGTTGTTAGCGAGCCTTGATCAAGTGATTTCATCGTCACCTTAAGAAGTCTAAACCACTAAAATCAACTCATCGAGAACCAATCATATCCGCCCATTAACACGACAACTTTGACAGCAAATTGACGAAAAACTCCTCTTAACGACGTTTAAAAAAAAAGACCCCAGCCAGAAACGAAAACGTTCTAATCGAGTTCCCAGACGCAGAAAGTGAAATGAAATGACGTCAACGGCATCATCACTAGCTAGCTCCAAGAATCTAAGTCATTCCGCAATCTCACGCTCCCTTCTGCAGCACTCATCAAAACCCATTTCTCAAAGAACCTTAGTAATTCCAACTATTCCCAGAAACACCAAAAATCTCTACATTCAACGTTACCAAAAGCTCCAAATCAGGCCCAACTCAACATCCATAACCGCATCATCTTTCAAGCCTGAACTAGCCACGGCACCTCCTCCCCTCCCTCTTCCCACCCCTCCTGTCACAAAGGTAATCACTTTTTCTTTATTTAGTCCTTTTTTATTGTTGTTTTAGTTGTGTATTTGTTAAACAGATCTGCTTTGGGTTATTGTTATAGTTCAAGATTGGGCTTTGCCAGTTGTCGGTAAGACCTGATAAAGAGAGGAACATAGGGCATGCTCGGAAGGCCATCGAGGAGGCTGCTCAAAAGGGTGCCCAGCTTGTTCTCTTGCCTGTGAGTTTTGCTATTGTCTGTGTGTCAAGGTTTAACCTTTGCGAATGTTCAAATGAGGGTTTTTGTTAGGTAATAATTTGTATAAAATTAAGCTTGTTTTTATCGAATTTGAGAATTGAAAAAATAGAAATTTGGTTGCTTGGTGAGCTAAGAAATTTGCGGACGTCAGATAAATGAAAATTTTCACTTTTTCACATGGTGACATGGATGCTTTATGCGTCAATCTTGCTACTCAGCCAGAGCAAACCATGGATGGTGATGGTGATCACTGATCAAGCGTGTTAGCTAATGCCTTTTTTTTTCATTATTTTTGGTGAAAATGAAGGTGAAGATTTTCACCTTTCAGTTTGACGAGCCAAATATGTGGTGGAATATAAACGACATTGGTGTTCCCTGAAATGGTGGTTTTGGTGTTCACAAATTACATGTAATAGATTTTGCAGGAAAGATTATAAACTATGAAATAAGAATATGATATCTTAGCATCAATTTAAGGCCCATCCTTCTTGTCTGTTATTTTATGTCAGGAAATATGGAACAGCCCATATTCGAATGAAAGCTTCCCAGTTAATGCTGAAGATATTGATGCAGGTGGTGATGTGTCTCCTTCAACAGCTATGCTGTCTGAAGTTTCTAGTCGCCTGAAGATCACAATAGTCGTTGGCTCTATACCTGAACGCTGTGGGGATAAGTTGTATAATACTTGTTGTGTCTTTGGTACTGATGGAAAGCTGAAAGCCAAGCATCGCAAGGTAGAGGCACTTCCTATCCCATATGGTAGTATACTGAAATGCCAATTTTTCGCATTATTTGTGTTGTGGCTGGACTTGGCAAGGGAATGTGTTCTGGGGCCACCTGTTATTTGATGTCCATGAGGTAGAATAATTCGACTATTGTATAACATCCGTCGTCACCTGTATATCAGCTCATACATAGACACATGTTACTAGATAACAGAGCCATCTAATATATCAGTTTTCATTATTACGATGACAAATTTTTGTTTTTCATACCATCAAAATCTAGATCCCCATTGGAAGAAACCAATCATTGGTATTGAGTTTTATCTATTTTATCTTTTGCCGCTATCTTATCAGCATGCAAACCCTGAAATTCCTGATCTCAGATACCAAGTTGGCAGCGTCCTTTAGACAATTTTATAGTTTTAGTGATATCATTTTGAACACTCCCTTTAAAGCTGGTGTGCATTATATTGATGACATTCTTGTGGAACTACAGATTCACCTTTTTGATATTGATATTCCTGGGGAGATTACCTTTATGGAATCCAAGACCCTTACTGCAGGGGATACTCCTACCATCGTGGACACAGGTTTGATATTTCATTAGACTTTGCATGCATGAACGATTGAGCTGTCCATAATTTTTGTCAGAAGCATTTTCTAGACCATATATTGTTAATCATCTCTTCTTATGTCATTGGCATTTACTTGGCACTTCTATATTTCTTACATCTGTGCCATTAATCGTGATAAAGTGTGATTTTAAATTTCCTACGATCAGATTTTTGTGACAACTAATTCCTGTTGGCAATCTAGTATACTAGTTGAATAATTTTCAAAGTGGGAAAGTAATCATCAATAGTTCTTGCAGACGTTGGGCGTATTGGTATAGGCATCTGTCATGACATTCGCTTTCTGGAATTAGCAATGATATATGCTGCAAGAGGTTTGTTTACTTCTCCATTGAACCTTGATACAATTAATTTCATTTTTAATGTTGGATTTTGGTAGCTGATGAACACAATTATTGTTTTCTAACTTATAAATAATTTAGCAAGTGTGGGGTATTTTTGTCATGGCCTACTTCTCCTGTTCTTTTCTTTTCTCTAAATCCTTTGCTATAAATTATTAGAGGATATTGTTTCTTCCTGAATTCTTTAAGCAACATCTCCTACATCTACTGATTCCTTTAATTCCCATAATTTACTAGCATTTATATATTTTATATTGTGATTTGGATCTTTTCTATTGTTTCCCCCTTTGGATAATTTATATTGTGCTCATATTGTTTTTCATGTTCTTTTATTTTTTGGAAGTTATCATATTTGCCATCTTATTTATGAATTTTTTGAACTATGAGTGTATCATGTTGTTGAAATTAGGTGCTCACTTGCTATGCTATCCTGGAGCATTTAACATGACAACTGGACAATTACATTGGGAGCTGCTGCAGAGAATAAGGTGCTTGTTATTTCCGTGCTTTCACTCTCCTTGTTAATTCTTTAAACATCACTAAAAAGGTTGAGAGAAATAAGGTAGGGTGGGGAGGGGATGCTGTAACTGCAGAGAGCAATATGTGATACGGTTCTTTTTACCTTGTATTCTTGCAGTGATGGTTCCTTGCTTTTTTAGCTTTTGGCTAGAAATTGTAGGGCAGTTAAAATAACAGGAGTATGCAGAAATTTTGTTCTTTTGAGTATAGCTGAATGCCAAATTACTAATTTTGAGATGTTAGGTTTGATTTTAAAATCCTGTTCTTTACTTGTATAGAACTCTGTAAGTGTCGGTAATCCTTTTCTAAGCAAAGATAACTTGCCGACTTTGCTTTGCAGAGACTCCAATAAATTTATTTGATGAAGTGGAATTTAGCATGTTTGATCACCTTTGGAAACATCATTTCATTTTAAAAAGGAAAATATTAACTTATATATACAACAATAAATTGAAACTTAGATCAAGCCATGCTGATTTGTCCTCCAGATTTGCTTTTTTTTTTGGTTGAACATCCAACCTTCCACAACCTGAAGCGTACCACCTTATTGGATGATTCAGTGAGCTAAATGTTATATTTCGCAATTTAGAATAGTGTATATGCTGTTTGTGGCTCGATATGATAGTTGTTGATCTTACTAATATGTTTCTTGCTGTTTCATATGCAGGGCTGCAGATAATCAGGTACAGTAGCAATATTTCCCCCTTCTTCAAATGACGAGCATAAGGGCTTTAGCATAGTATAATGCTTTCTTTAATAAGAAATGGTTCTAGTACCATTGAAACCAATGAAAATTATGTAGATTCTATCATTATATAGTCAAAACTAGAATGCAGTCTAATGCTGTTCTAGTTGAATGGCAGGGATAAGTTGCCCTATTTTCTTCTTCTGTTTTATTAAGCTTCAAAAAAAATAGTTGTTTGTAATTCATGCTTGTGGTGTTTCAATAAATATTGAAAGTGGGGTGGATTCATCACAATGGGAGACTTGAGATCATAAAAAGTTCTTTTCTTTCTAGAACATGAATATCTGTTACTTGTAAAAGGTTTCTGTTTCATGTTTCTTTTCTAACAAAATTTTATATGACAGTTATATGTTGCAACTTGTTCACCTGCTCGAGATGCTGGAGCCTGTTACGTTGCTTGGGGTCACTCAACACTTGTAGGACCTGTAAGTAGATGCTTGCTTTTTAAGCTCTGTTGTGGATTAACAAAATAAGGCTTTGCTCCAGTAACACGTGGAAAGCAAGGCTTTCTGAATCTGTTGTGGTTTTAAGTCTTTTGAGCAGACAAGAATATACTGAAAATTTTTCCATGTAACAGTTTGGAGAAGTTCTGGCTACCACTGACCATAATGAGGACATAATTATATCAGAGATTGATTATTCAATACTTAAGCAACGAAGGTGACGTGGCTTCCACCTAGTATTTGTTTTCCCGATATTACATGCGTATGGAATTGCTCATTCATTTTAATTGGATGCTTGTATGAAATTTAGGGCAAGTCTCCCCTTAACAAAGCAACGGCGAGGTGATCTTTACCAGTTGGTAGACATTCAGAGGCTCAACTCTCATTGATTAGAGGAGAAGCTTATGAGAGAGCTGGGATTCATGGTTAGAATTTTCATTGATAAAGGTGGAACTTTGTTAAAAATCATGGGAATTTTCTAGTCCTTTACTCAGTTGAGGAAACTCAGTAGTTAACAAAGATCATGTTAATCATTCGGATGGTTGCTGGGAGCTCAATGATGGGAAGTGTTACTGTTTTCATGTTTGCAGTATGAAACCCACCGGCCACCATGCAAATCTTAATCAAGTCGATTATTTTTGTTTTATGGGTCATGGTTGAATGGACATATCAAATCCTGTGGATAGATCCTAGAAAACAGTGGGTCTATCCTAATAAAGAATCATGCATGCCCAGAAAATCTATTACCAGCTAAACCTACTATTAATGAGCCTGGAGACGTGAATACTGAAGAAGAAGCCTGGGTTAATTCACTATAGCTATTATTCTACTTGGCAAGCCAGAAAAAATGTGGCTTTGTCTCCTAATTCAAAGTACTGATAATTTTGTGGATCTTGTCTATCACATTATCTGTTTCATTAGAGTGTGATGATTTGATTCCAACACATCTTACCCAAAAATGATAAAAAAATATTATATGGATATTTTCGGGTTTGATGCATAAGATTATTAATATGATAGAATAATTATTATTTTATTTTATGTTTGATTTGTATCTAAAGAGAGATACGGATTGTAAGGATTATTAATATTTTTTTAGTATCTAATTATTCAATTTTTTTCAAGTGAAAAGGATTATTTTTAATTCATAAGATTAAATTTATGTCAAATTATATTTTTAAAAATTATATCAATAATTTAAATTGTATAAATTTTATGAAATGATAATCTTGATAAATAAATAAATTATTTTTTTTAATCATTATATATATTAAATATAAAATAAAATGATATTATTTAATCTAATTTTATTTATAATATTATTTTATTTTATCTTATTATAATATTATGTACTAAACATAACCTCAATGTATACATATTGATAGTACTGAAATTAGATTTTTATACCTACTTGGTTTTAGGTTACCAACTAAGTCTGGTCATAACACTAAAAAAAAAAATTTTAATAGTGAATACACATTTACATGTAATTTTTAATATGATCTTGATAATTGTTGATATAATTTTGATTAATGTTATAAAAATTATTAATATGATTTTGATTTAACAAATTTTGATATCAAAATTATATATAAAAAAAAATATGTCAATGGTTATAAAATTATCAAAATTTAGCAAAATCATGTTATCAAAATTATTAAAAATATTAAATGTCATCTAAATTATTAGAAATGTTATCAAAATCATAACGATATCAAAATATTATTAGAGATTATCTAGATTAAAAATTATCAAAATTTTATACAAATTTAAGTTATCAAAATTATATCTATTAATTTTTATGTCACCTTGATGTCTTGATGAGGTCACATCTATTTATAGTATAGTAAGTAATAAAATGTTTACTCTTTATCATGTTATAGAGTAAACATTTATTTTGGAAATTTTATTGTTGGAAATATAAAACACTTTAGATAAGTTTGTCATGTAAAGTTTAACAAATTTGTTTAATACAACATTATTATTATGTGTTAAAATTGCCTTTCTAACTCCATCTCTTCGAAGAGAGACCATAAGTTAATAAATGGAAAATGTGGGAGCAAAAGAAACTTCACCTAATTCAAAGTCAATTAGTAATAAATCTATTATTTTTACCCTAAAATATATACAAATTAATCTAAAGCCAATAGCAAATTTATCAAAAGAAATTAAGAGTACAAAATAACATATAAATTTAATAATTTAAAATATTATATAATAATATGATATAAAAATAATTAAAAAATATTGATTTTTTTATAAATATAAATTTTTGTACATAATTTTTATATAAACTATATGCATCGCACTTGGATGTACTCAAAGCAAAGAACCCAATCGCAATGCCTAGATGGCCATATGCTATTAAACTTCCCTTTGTTTGCTTCGTTGGAAAGAACACTGTTTCTTTCTTCATCGCCAGAAAATAAAAGAAAAAGAAGAAAAACTGTCATAACCTTCTAATCCAATCTCCACGGTCCGATATTTCCTCTGATTCTCACACGATGCGGTTGATTAGATCAATGATGGATCACATCAAGGAACATTGAAAAAATCTTCGTAGAGGAGAGCCAGGAGGTAAAAAAATCAGGTGTGGCGGTGCCACGTCTCCTTGCACTCTGCCGAGGAGGCAAGCTTCCGGTCCTACAAACTCTATGTCCTCTTTCGATTAGACGCTACATATCTGGTTTGGGCCTTGGTTCCCTAATCAAGGGAAGCCATTTAATTTACTTGTTCCACTCAATCGCAAATTTCTGACCGGATCTATTTTTTTACCCTCTAATAAATTAAATAATCAATTTTATTAAGAAGTTCTCTTAAAATATTTTTTTAAAAATTAATTATTAATTTCTTTCATTTAGCATAAAAATATTATTATAAATAGCATAGTGCACTGGTTAGTAAAAATATTAAAATATTTAAATTAGTTAGAATCTGAGATTAATATTTTAATGTCTTGCAAATTTTGCATTATCAACTTAAAATATATCATTATTTTTGTTTCCTCAGTTTTAAGAATTCACACTAGTTAGCATATGCTTATGGAAAATTGTTAATGCACCATAAATTTTTTTTTATGCTAATTATATATAATCTCAATAAGAAATGTTTCATAGATTTTATGTTGAATGTATGAAATTGAAAATTAAAGTCTCAAATGCACATATGCTTTTAATAATTCCTCAAGATAACTCTTAGAAGGCTTTAGAATAAAGGAAAAAAAAACTTTAATATAAAAACATTCGACAGAATTTTTTTTATTTTAAGAATAATGATAAACTCCAAAACCTTCCATCACTCTCTTTCGTTGCTATAGCAATTTGTGCCCATTCTCCAATTAGTTTGACAATTCCAACTAAAGATTCAAGAATAGAAAATCAAATCAAATCAAATTTTTGAGAATAAAAAAGATATTAAGTATGTTTTTTATTATATTAAATAATAGATATTAGTAATTTTTTTTTATCAGCATAAATTTTGTAAATTAAAAGGGCTCCGATGGGAATTGGGATCCAATACTGCTGCCAATGCTGAGAGAGACTATTATACACGTGGCACAAGACAACTGGCGGAACATCTTCCAAAGATGGGAAACTAAATTCTTATTTAAATTTTATCGTATTTTTTGAGTTGTGTTATTAAATTTATCGTATCAAATTTAAATATTAATTTTAATAAAATTAAATTAATATAAATTTTTTAAAATTATAATTATAATTATAATTATAATTATTTTTAATTTTACCGCACTCAATCGCAGCACGCGTCCAAATATAGCCTAAAACTCAATGGGCTGACGACGGTGTGTGAAGAGGGAAGCCCCAGAAATCAGAGAGTAATATCCTTAAGCGGAGGTGTCAGAGGCACTCAGATCGGACGTCATTGGAGAGACACGGTGAAAAAGGTTCACGTGAATTTGGAAATGGTCCCCACATTCCCCAGCCTTGAATTTTCCAAACTCTAGGGCCCCACCAGAAGAGCGCGTGATGCCATATCAGCCATTAATTATTGGCGCCCGTGCATAGACTATGGTATTAGCTGTTTCTGCTCACATTGGACCCCACATTTTAAGGGGAAAACCCAGTACACGGTCCGTACTTTCTTCTTCCTCTTACCCTTGCATCCTTATCTAGATTTAGTAAGTCAAATATTACGGGGTGTTAATATTCGATTTTAATCAAATTAATAATTGAAACCATTTAATTTGATTAATTGATGTTTATTAAATTAATTTTAATTTATTATTAAAAATAATTTTAAAAATTGTTAGCTTCAATTAATTAAATTTAATGATTGAATAAATAAAAAATTTAATAGAAATATAAAAAATTCAAAGATAAAATTAAAAAAAATAAATCAATTGTTTTATTTTATAAATTATTAAAATTTTCAACTTAATACTTTAATAACTGAAATTTTTTAAAATGATTTTATTTAGTTTATTTCAAACATGAAAATTTAAAAATTTAAACTATAATTTAAATGTATTTTATTATTAATTAATTCTAAAATTATCCTGTTAACATTCTTAAATTGGGAATTGAAGTCAACTTAATTATTTGTCTTGGTATTTTTATCACCCAAAAAAAAGGTATGAAATTAGATCTCATTTTGAAAAGATACCAAAGTTTTAAGATGAGTTAAGACCTGTGTGTATGTTATTTTAAAAAATTGAGATTTAATGGATTTACAATTATGATGGCCGTGGGTCTCTCACCAGGAAATTAAAGGAACAATGAAGTTGTCCAAGGTGCCATTGAAGACATACTGCATATCAATTTCAAAGGGAAATTGGCCTGGGATAGCGTTTTCTTGGTAAGCATGCAGATACAATGCCGCACGAGGCATCCATCATGCATACATGGGCAGTTCAAAACTTTATTACTACCAGGCCCTACCTTAGCAGTAATATTAAATCTCTCAACCAGATCTGTTAGCATCAGATGGAGAAAGTACACAACAGTCATTGTCTGATTGCTGGTGGAAGCCACCCTTGCAATGTACCTTATTTTAGCTCACTAAATTCAAAGACACTGATGATGAGAGACATTGCTGAAACCAATGCAAGAGACCAGATCACTGACCTTTTCTGAATCACTCCCCCCTTTTTCTTACCCCAAAGGGCACTGAAAGGGCTCTGGATGTTGCATCCATAATAGCTTATGTCCTGGAAATGGATGTACATGAGCAAACCAGAAACAGGAAAACATGTGATCTTGACAGGGATTACCCAGGCAGACCCCTTGTTCACCCTGTAATATTCTTAAGCCATCCTTTTCAGCATTCTTAATATTGATGTTGCTTCTATACATATATTAATGTTTTTCTCATGCTTTTGGAGAAGCAACTAGATTCGCGTTTTCTAACTGGGTTAACTGAATAACTTTGCATCGTCTTGCATGTAATGTCTATAGCATTATCCCCTCTCAAATTTCGTCCAAAAAAAAGTAATCAATCATTCTCTGAAAACTCCAACTCCAGATCAAAAAACAGAGAAAAAACAAAATTTTGTCTTAAGCAAAATAATGACCTACGACATGATCAGACTGAAATGACTTAACTCGTCAAATCATGTCAAAAATAAAATAATGCAATTTGCTTTTGTGAAGCAGGGCACTTTGGGAGATGATTCCAGCATATTTCAAGAACTGGGTCGTGCCATGTGGCAGAATCTTTTTTAGACCGTATATTGACTGCATCCTTTTTGTGTAGAGGAAAAGCAACGTAGGGTGGGAAAAATAGAAAAGAAGAATTTAAGAAGAAATGAACAGTTGAACACAAAGAGGGAAAGAACAGAAAAACATGTCTCCTCTTCTCTCTCTGTTTCAATTTTCAAAACTTGTTCAGGGTTCGAGGATGACCGTTATTAAGTTCAGAGCTTCAAAATGAACAAAATGAAGGCTCCATGGGTGAAAATTTCATGATTAATTAAAGAAAAAAAATTACAGGCTCCTTCTACTAATTACCCATGGTTAAAAGCTAGATTTTTTTCATGATTAAAGCTAATCTTTCATCCATTTGCTTTAGTAACTTTTTAACTGTCATTTCTAATTTTTGGTAACGGAGCTCATCACTTTGAATTTCAAAAGATTCACACCCAAGCCAAATGGGATCCTTTGAAGTACAATTACAAAGATATCTGTCTCTTAAATAATAAAGCATGATTAATTATATATATATATATATAAGTTTAAGCGAGTGAAAATTATTTTATTTTAGGGTCAAGTTATATATTAAATTTAAATTTTATACAAAATTTAAAAATCATTCATAAAATGTTTTTTTGATAATTAAAATTAAACTTAAATTTTATAAATGAAATATTTTATTTTTATCAACTCAATCAATCTTCATTAAAAATCAAGATTAATCATTAGCATTATGGTTTAATATGTATATGCTAATTAAACATTAAACAATACTTAATTACATATGTTTAATGTGATAAGAAAAATTAGGCTAAAAGTTCCCAAACAACGAACTCAAATTTTCACTTTTAAAGTTGAATTATTTACGTACATTATCGTTATTTTTATTTTATTACTCAAACTAACACTTCAATGTGTTAAAAACATTTAATGACAACTTCATATAATATTTTCTACTAGGTATTACTTGTAGACACCAACATCCTATGAATCTTTTTATGGAACATTACATTCATAGGATTTAATTTAAGCTTTCGTAATAAGTGAGGTCTGGATTACATCATTTATGGTATATGTTTTTTTTTTTCTTTTTAAATATGTTCCCTTCCCTGTATTACTGAAACTGCGAAAATATTGTACCAGTAAGATTTTTTGCGTACATTTGTCTGAAAATTGTAGTACTTCCTGCAGAAACAGTGATTTGCTATCACTTCAATAGATAATAGATATAATTGTCAACAAATACATATGATTTGTTCCCTAATCACAAATCCATTTGACAATAATCGAAGTTTTAGGTCCATGAGGATTGTCACCTTAAATCATTCTAATAATAACTTTTACTTTTTGCAAATGATTTATGATTTATGGTATAAATCTCACTCTCAGACAATCTAAATTATAATAATTTGAATTTTAAATAAATGATTCATATAATTATTTATAAAAAAAATGATATTTAATAAATTTAAAATTTAATACTTATAATTTTTTTTGTAATTTTAAATTATGGTTTCTTTTATATATATAAAAAAAATCTATAACAATTTGAACATCTAAATCTAAAATGATTCTAATTCAAAATTATTTAAATCCAAACCTAAAATAATTTGTATTAAAAAATAAACCTACTTGAATTGGATAAATCCACCTAATTACCACTTAATTACAAAATAATATGTACAAGAAATTTTTTGAATGACAACAAAATTTTAAAAAGAAATAAAAATCCTAAATCAAATAAGAAAAAATCGGATTGTTTGATTCCATTCTATTTCTTGTCTCATACGGTATTATGGTTCCTATCAATAATTTATTAATCACTATGCCAACTCAATTGCATTTTAAAACCCTCCCAACATGGTACCTTCCTTCCTTTCTTTCTTTCTTTCTTTAATTAATTATTATTAACACTTTGGGGTTGGGCTGCCTGATAAAATTTTTTTTCAATTTGCAGATATTGCTGTAAATAAGCTTTTTCGCTTGAACAGGGACTTTGATAAGCATATGATTTAATTAATCACTTGTAGTTTTGTATCTGTTTTTTGTAATTGATTCTTTGTAACCAAACTTGTTGCTTATTCTATGAATAAAAATTAACTCATTTATTTTTAAAAAATGAACATAATATAATCAAGCCCTTGTATCCTAACCATACAAAAATTTATTTATATTGTATTCCAATTTGCACCCAAATGCTTTAGAATTAAATAATTCAACTAAATTCAGTTCATCAGTTCACATCCAAAATTTCTCCCCCTTCAACGTCTCCAGCTTTTCTTTCTAAAAGAATGTTTAATTTTTTTAGTGACAATCCAATGTATCCCAGACCACCATTACCATCTTTAAAGACTCAGAAAATTTTTCTATCTTGAAACAACATCTGGACCCACCAAGACTGACAAACCCTTCTCCTCCGACAATGATCAAACGGTCCAAAACTCAATTCTGAAAGTAAAGAAATTCAAAGTGATTGGAATGGAGATGGGAGGTTAATTTATGAGAAAAAGAAGGGTGATAAGGGGATCGAAAAAGTGGCAGAAGAGTGCCATGTAGACAGATGACAATCTCGCATTGGCTCCATTATAGTAAGATCGAAACACCTTTATTAGTGTGCCAAGCTTCTGTTCCCCTCCTCTTCATCTTCAAGGCGTGCAAATTTGCTTTCATTACTCTCCTTCTCTTCAGACAAAGCATCAATTCTCTGTCAATGTTTCCTTTCTTTCATTTCCAACAATAGGAAAGAAAATTTAGACAGAGAAAGAGGAAAGAGAGTTCCCTGTTTCAAACAATGACTTGTTTCTCGTAGCCAAAACCTTCTGTTTCTTCTCTGTATTTTTGCAGCTTTTGAATCCTTCTTCACAGACACAAAGAACTTCTTGTTTGATACTTAATAGTCTCTTTGTTTATAATTTTGTTTGGCCATCATTCTTTTGCTATACACACATTTTCCCAAAACGAGAAACCATGTATAGATTGGAGAAAACAGTGATGAGAGAGGAAAGATACAGGCACGAGAGAGATAACCCATCTTTCTCTTCTACTCTACTTGACAAAATCTACCGTTCCATCGATGATGATGTTGGCACCAAACATGAAGACTTGAAAGTCTACAGGGAAACAATGCAAAAGAAACAAAGTAAAGGTAACATGAAAAGCAACAGAAGTAGAGGACGAGGTCAAGAAGAAGAGCTGTCGAGTCTCCAACGAGCTCGTTTGATCGAGAAATGGATGGAAAAGAAGGTTAGTGAAAAGGCAAATGCAGACAGGAAACAGGTTTTCTCTGAGTTTGAAAGAAAATCACATCATGAACATGATCCTGATCATGATATTCTTTTCTTTAGCTCCACTTCCAGCTCATCTGATTCCAGTTCTGGTGGTTTCTCATCATCTGACACTGAATCTATGTATGGTTCAAAAACAAAAGCTTCATTGTTTGTACCACCAAGGCCTAAACCTGTCAGGACCAACTTGTCGGCACGATCAGAGAAACCGTTTAAAACGGAGAAAACAGGGAGAACAGAGAGGACTCTGTTTTATGAACCGAAGGAGGAGTTGCATATGTTTGATGATTATCATTATAATTCTGCATCTGACCATACATCAAAGCTTGATGGAAGTTTTTCCAAGTCAAAATCAAGAGCCATGAAAATTTATGGCAATTTAAAGAAGGTGAAACAACCCATTTCACCTGGTGGCCGTCTCGCGAGTTTCATCAATTCTCTGTTCACAACAGGTAATTCAAAGAAAGCCAAGAGTTCATCTTCAATTGTAAGCTGTGACGATGAAAGAAAATTGAAATCGGGACATGTCTCAACGTGTTCTTCTGCTTCCTCATTTTCAAGGTCATGTCTAAGCAAAAACTCGCCTTCTACGCGAGAAAGGTTGCGTAATGGAGTTAAAAGAACAGTTAGATTTTGCCCAGTGAGCGTAATCGTTGATGAAGACTGTAGACCATGTGGGCAAAAATGCTTATATGAAGAAGAAGACTCGAGTTTACTGTCGGTTTCAGTTCCAACTGCATGGAAAATTGGGAAATCGCCATCAAAAAAGTGCGAAGAAGAGCTAAATTTTCAAATAATGGAGAAGACTAGGGGAGTGGAACAAATGGCTAGAGAGTTTTTGAAAGAATATCATCTAAATCAGAAGAGGAGCGATCTTATTTCAAGTGACGGTCGCAGTAATTATGTAGTGGACGAAATGGATGACAATGAAGATGATGCAGCTAGCTATTCAAGTTCTGATTTGTTCGAGTTGGATCACCTTGTTCTTATTGGTAATGATAGGTACAGAGAAGAGCTTCCAGTGTATGAAACTACCCATGTTGAAACAAATCGAGCCATTGCTAATGGCTTGATAGTGTAGTTAATTTTTACAAGATATAGAGAACCAAAATTTTCAGTTTAACTGTCCTTTTTTGGTTATTTTCAATCTGGAATTTTGTTCTTTAATTCTGGTTTTGAGTTATAAAATGTTTATGCATTCTTTATAGCCAATTTTGGTGTAAATACCCGATGGGCGTCTTTTTCATTTTTGTCTTACTATTGTTTGTGTTTAAGTGATGAGATGGTAAAAATGAAAAACAAAGGGTGAAAAAGAAAAGGTAAGCATCGAATTTTAAGTTTCTGAAAAGCAAGAGCTGGGGATGCGTTAATTCTTTGATCATGATCTGAACTGAAGAGATACTGATAGTGCCATTTGATTGAACAAGAATAAAGAAAGAAAGAAAAGAAAGAAAGAAAGAAAGAGGGAAAAATGAAAGATTCGAGATCGTAATCACAAGCAAAATGAGGGTGATGGTAAAGGCAAAGGCAGATCTTCGCCCCATGGGAATAGAGAAAGATGAGGGGAGCTTTTGCTTTCTTTCCTTTCCTTTCTCTGGAATTGGATTTGTAAATTGGATTGGACCCTCTTGCTTGAACATTGTGTTAGCTTCACCATTCCTCCCCCCACCTTCCCTGCTACCAAGACAAAAGGGCACTCTTTTGCCTCACCTATATATCCCTCCCATTGAAGACTACTCTTATTTGTGGATCAAGAAACAAAAAAAGATAACTCATTTTCACACCTCATAAATCTTTCAAAAGATTCAAAACCCTAAACCCTTTGTCTGATCTCTTGAATAAACCCTTTTACATTTCAGTTGATCTTATACAATTGGGAGACCAAAAACATTGCTGTTACTGTTAATTGAGACATATTCTAGTAACAACTAAAACTACAATTATTACTACTATGAACATGAAAACAGTACACATCCCACCGAAGTGTACAGCAACAATTTTTTTATGTTAACAGGTAAAATGTTTAACATGTCAGGATCAGGAACAAGAAGAAGATGGTCCGCAGAATTTAATGGAATAGAGCTATTAATTTCAACTAGCAGCTGAGTTACACTCTTTCTCCATCAACATTTACTCTTTAGGATTCCTTTACCATAGGTGAAGTGACCAACACTGTAAGTGTGCTCATGAATTTTACTAGACTTTCTTCAAACAGGTCTTTGTCCAAAAGACTGGAGAAGGCAGTGAGCAGAGGAGCTCTATAAAGTTGCCAATTATCACTGCAGACTTGGCCTAGGTTGCTCACTGTTCACAAGGGACCAATCTGGTTGCAGAAATTGTGATAAATGTGAAAAAAAAAATCATTTCATTTTGAGCACTGCATCCAAGACAATAAATGCTAACTAATAAAATAGGAAACCCCAATTAATCTTTTTTTCTTACAACATTTTTATGAGTATCATTTCAAGACACATTTTTGAGAGACTGTTGATAAATGGTTATAGTATATTCTGATATTCTTTATTGGGAATAGGTGGTTGTGGTTGTTTCATGCAAATTTAAAGAGTTGAAGCATTAGAGCAACGGGTCCCAAAGAAGATAGAAGGAATCTTACAAATATAGTTATTAACATGATTGAATATGACAACCAATGAAATTTGTTTATATTATTATGATAATACTCTGATATTGCTTTTAATTGTTGTACGAAGGGAACACAATGTAATTTATACATCAAATGTATAATTAATTTTTTTCAGCTTTAAATTAAAGTATATATACTATGTAGCGATATAATCATGTTTGACAATGACGATCCACGTTCAATTCTTATCATATAAATTTGAAAAGCAAAAAAGGAAAGACAATTTTTTTTTTGAAGAGATGCCTTAACAGTTACAACCTTCCCCCTTGCCCACCCCAAAAAATTTATAAAATAAGGAAAACATGAACTCTCCTTTTCTTTTCTCTGTACTATTGCCCATGAACACGAATGTTATATATAAAGAGATGAAATAATCATACTTAATAACTAATCAAATTCACTAGGAGCTAAACAAAAGATTTTAAAATATCTATTACTTCAAGCCAGTCAAGCCTCTTATTCAAGATAGACATCTTAAGGCTAATGGCAGGAACTTTTACCATATTATGATATCGTTTTATGATTAAATTTATAAAAATTAAAACATAAATTACAACAGTGGAAAGATAAGATTTTTTTTTATCATACTGTCAAATTAGAATCTTTAAATTTAAATCATCCTAATCTTTAAAAATAATAATGAATAAATAAAATTGATGGCTATTGCTTTTAGGAAAAAAAATCACTCCAAACCAAACGGTTAATCTTAAAAAAATAAGTAAATAAATAAATTAAAGAGGACAACTATATAAACATATTATAATTGGTATCAATTTTACTTTTGGCAACTTCCAAAAACTTGGTAAAGAAATGAGTAAACATGAAATGGAATAATAGATAATGACTCTATAACCAACTTAAGCCAAGTTTCATGTTAAACCAACCATTGCTCTCAAGCATAAAATCATAAAATAAATAAGATGGTCTCAATTATATTGATTTTTTTGGTAAAAAATGATAGTTTGGCGATAAGATAACAAATTATAAATATTAATGTTTAAATTTATTAAATATCATGTTTTAAAAATAAAATGTACCATTAAATTCAGCTTCGAATTCTCAATTATAAAATTCTAGTTCGAATTCTCAATTATAAAATTTTAGTAGACCTAATAATATAGCCTATAAAGGTACCATTAGTACTGCGTGACAAGCATGCAAAGAGTTTGTAATGTAAAAATGGGGCCAGACTCTCCCACTAAGCTGACCAAAAATCTCTCTATAGTCAAAATCCAACATGATCATATGATTAGAAACTAATAAACAAGCTTAAACCACATTTGTTTAAGGCGGCAGTGGATTTGTAACTTATTCAAGAATTGTAGGCGGAGAATTGTTTAATTACTAGTTATTTTGTTCACGCTGTACTTTGTAGTTTGAAAGTTTTTAAAAGTAGTTACAAAAAAAAGCTTTATGGATTAATTAATTTATATAATAAGATTTCAATTAAATTATCAATTAGCAATCTATATATCAGTTGTGAACTTGGGATTATATATTTTTGTTGGGATCATCTCTTTCTCTTACTCAGCTTCATTTGTTAGAGATTCCGTACACACAGTGGTGAAGTGGGGAAGAAGTTGCCGACAGTGATGGCAAGAATACTGTTACATGGAGAGGATGAACAGATATAAGTTGAAAGATTATAATATAAATTCAAATTTTAATTTAATTAATTTATAATAATTATTTTTAAAATAATATGTTTTATATTATAATTTTAAAAAAAATTATAAGCTAAACCTAGCTAGCCTACGGTCCTTTTTTGGCACATACCCCAAGCCAAAATTTGGTTCTTTTGGGCTTATTAATTCCCTTGACGGGCGTGTCCCAGTTTTTATATGGATTCCTGAGATCATATTCATCATTTTCTTTCCGTCATACAGCTATATTGATTTTTATAAAACATGTGTGATAAATGCACAATTGGCTCGGGCTTTGGGATAGTGAGCCTACTTTGATTGGATATAAGTTCAATTTTGAGCAGGGATTAGACAAAATGGTTAGTCCCCCTTATCTCTTTAAGGATTAAACTGAGATGATCAACCAACAAAATTTGAGTAATTCTATCTATTCTGGAGTTCAAGAAATATCTTCTTGAAAGAGTAATTTGTGACTTAATTGATTCTCTTTCAAAGGTGGGCAGAGTTCTGCAGAGAGGGTTATGGGACCAAGGTGTGGTAATAAATTGCTAATTGATAGAATCGAGTTATGGAGTTTGGAGCATTAGCTTCAAGTTTCAAGTTTCTTCTGTCGTTTAAGGCAGGAAAAGACAAACAACCAACGAGTTTATAGACAGTGGGGCCTGGGGAGGGGTGGGTTTCCTTCCATGGTGTACTCCTGTGGTAAAAAAGCTCTTTGGAATCTGAGAGAAATTACTTGAGGCCTTGAGCTTTCTATACTTGTTAGATTGTCAGTCAATTTCTGATATAATCTATACTTGCTTAACATTAAGAAATTTATCGTCTCTTCCCACGAAGAAAACATGAAATCCTCATTGTTTTTATCTTCAAATGCAGAGAGACAATGCTGCCATTGGAGAATAAAATCATTCTGTAACAAGAGACACCTACTTTGATGAGCGAAATTGACAATTCTTTTGCGGCTTGCTAACAAATAAAAAGGCCGCAAGACTTTATTTTTTATTTTTTATACGGCAAGGGTTTTGTCCAGTACTTCTCCTTATTGAGCAGGTTCAGGCAGTTAATCCTGCATTTTTTTTAATCGTTCATTAATTTATCTACCATTCTTAAACTTAAGTTGAACTAACCCCTCGCAACAATTTTAAAAATTTAGCCAAACCGCGGGAAAGTTGGCAATGGAATCAGCCTGGCCTCTCTCTGCAACTTGGTGTGGTCCACTGTTTTGGCTACTTTTGCTTTGGTAGTAAATGACAAAGATATGATTGGCGATCCCAAAGATGAGTTTCTATAAGATCCTTAGCAGCTTTTCCTTTTCTCTTCTACAAAGTAAGAGAAGTGTGAAGAATGCATGAGTACGTTTCTTGTTTGATCCACAAAAGATTCAATCTTACTAAGAATGGAAAAATTAAAAAGAGAAACAACGATATCTTTTAGCTTCTTTTCATTTTCTTGGGACTATACAATTTGGTGAATGTAATTGTCAGCAATTTCATGTTTGAAATCATTTAAAGTAGTTTGTAAACTTATTATTTCAACAATCTTGTTCGTTTCTTAAACTTCGTTTTGAAAATATAATTGGAAGACTTCTTACCGTGTTGGAATGTTGTTTTCACGTTGAAATCTCCTCCCTACTCGTTTCCTATAGACCTTTTAATCCTCTTTCACACTCTAAGTTGAATTTTTAGCACAACCCTTTTCTTAAAGAATGGATATGGCTGCAGGAAGTACGGAAAGAATGGATGCAGTAACATTAATTTTCACTAACCATGCACGCTTCAAATTTGCAGAGTGTGG